GTCCCTTCTTTGACCCAGGCATTGTTGAACTTGACCCAATTCCAAAAACGTTCCAGATATTGCTTGTTCAAAGAGGACTTGACCGGCACCAGGAAAGATGAACGGCGACTATCCAAACTTTCACCAACTGTCTGAATCCGCCAGAATCTGTTTCTACCGTCAGAAACTGTCAGCCACGTCTCGTAAACCGTTAATGCCCAGCTCTTGCTACGCTCGGGCTCACTCTGTTCCTTGAAGTTTCTCAGAAACGCTTAGTAATAACGGACGAAACAACCAAAACACCAATTGTTGACTCGAGGATTCTTTATTGTTACACCAACATATAAATCACGTATGACTAAGGTCTGTGAACAAATATTACAATAATAAATCACAATATTACTTCTGACGGTTTTCTCCTGACTTCTTTCTGAACAGCGACTGATGAGACGATGACTGTCGTATTGATGCCTCCGCGAAAATTGGGGAAGTTGATTTTGAGCAAACAACCATGAATTGATCGTTCAATCTTCAACTACATTGACACTCCCCGGCAAAAAAGGGATCCAACCCTTTTTTCCATCACGACCAATACACGTTGACTTGGATGCCATTGCGAGAACCTGGGTCACACGGACAGAGCTGAAATGGAAAACAAACAGAAAAGCCAACACACCACAGGAATACCCCCAGCATAATCTCACACATCAATGACGACCTGCGCCTTCCAGTTAAAGGCATCCTCTTGCAACACAATCGCCACTTGCTAGAATGACTCTTGCAGAATGCAACGTGACCATAGCAGCACCTCACGATACTCTACGCTCATCCTCTTATCTACTCACTACCAATTACCACTACAATCGCTTGTCACTCATTCTGCCTCAGTTCTAGTAACGGTGACGTATGCGAGCCTCAGTCGTTTACACTCTTTCTCCCCGGCGTGCGGGACCGCAGCTAACAATTATCTCCGTATGCATTTCATTCTCACCAATAGCCTCCCCGGCGTATACGACCCATCTGCTCTCTTGAACATCAATCAATTCATTCACGGATGTAGAAGACTCGAAACAACTTCAGAGGTAATCACGACGAAAATTTTAACAAAATTATGCAATAACAACAAGGTACGAAAACAACGAGTAAACACAATGAATCCAAACACCACCAATTGATAGGACACACCACACGTATATACAAACAGTACAAACAAACTCGCAGTTCATGTCTTGATGGAATTCCTTTGAAGAATCGCAGGACTTACACCAGTACGCCTACAACCCTTCACAGGCTGACGATTGTAAGTTGTGGAATGTCCGGACACAAACAAGATTAACCAACAATTACAATAATCGGAACTCACACAATTATTTAACACAAACATAAGTACATCGAACACATCAGATGTTGTGGATTCTGGCACGACAAACTAACCTTGAAGAACTGTAGGACTTACAGCAGTACGCCTACATTCCTTCTCAGGTTGATGATCCAAGTGGAAGTCGTCCGGACACAAACAGAATTACCAACAGCTAGATGACAGATGATATCAATTCAGTATATGCAATATGAACATATGTACAAAATCACACACCAAGCACGTTGGGCTGCTCATTGATGCGCTACCCTTTGAAGAATTGTAGGACTTACAGCAGTACGCCTACAACCTTTCTCAGATTGACGCCCTAGGTTGGAAAATCATCGCAGAGTTCATTTGCTGATTTCCTTCTATCAGCTATATCCTCAAATCTGAACGGTAACACGCTCATGTCATTGTATCGTAGAATATAGATGACTAACAAACACACGACCTATCTGGTCAACCAAGCGTAGGCACAGAGTAATTTACACCAAAGATAATAACATTCAAATAGTAACTTGAAACTAGAAATGCCTTTATTCATGCAAGTCAATTTAACAATAACTCTCTCCTTTACACTTGGCTTATCCTCACTAAACTGACCAATATCTTTCGTCTTTTCAAACGCACCAATACTATCATAGTCATTGCACAAGATACTTGAGTTGATGGGCATCTGTTTCATTGTGGATGAAAACACCAACGATGACTGAGTGACACAAGGTGATGAAGTTAGCGGTGGATCAGAAGCTGTTCTTTTTCGGCTTTCAGATAGTTGTCCAACTGCAAGATTACCACCACTGCTGTCTTTTACTATCAGCTCAGGTTTAGCACTAGCATCTGATGATAGGTGGGCTACATGCTGATCACTCACACTGACGGTCTGACAAGTATGCATGCCTTCTGCAACTGCACCTGCATTTATTTCTACTTCACGTTCAAGTTCTACAGAACCTTTATTTAACTTAGCGGTAGTAGGCATTCCCTCCATTTCATCATGATCAACCAAAGACAAATCTGCACTATCATGATCACTATCACAAATATTCAATTTACCATCATCTATCTAGTAGACCTCATCATTATCAAAATCTTTAATAACTGAAGTAGACAATTTTGGTTCCTCCTCACAAATCCTAAAAGGTTCTATATCTTCACTCTGAATAGTAATACCTTGTAAACTTGTGGAGTCAGAACTGCACTCTGAAGCAGCAACTCTATTCTGTGATACTCTATTCAACAATGGCTTACCAGTTGCAACTACAGACTTCTTGACCAAACCGTTATCGTCACACAATTCGGAGTCAGGCCTGGAGTTTACATATAGCTTATCACTGAACTTGCTCACTGGTTCACAGTTCACCTTTGTATGCACCTCTTGCAAACGTGTAAAACACAACCGTGTTTGTCTTGCATCTTGTAACTTATCTGTTGAGAATGTACTACGAAACCTGTTACACTCACTAGGTCTATATGCATTACTAGACATCATGGAGCCTTCTCGATATCCACCTCTCTGAGGCCTATTCGTCATCAATGATTGCGTTTTGCACTCAGACTGCTCTATTCTAGGAGTGAGATTCAATATACTGGCAAACTTGCTCATAGATTGATTGACACTATCTTTTACTAGTTTCAGGTTATCATCAAATTTTGGCTCGATACCCTCATCCTCCATACGGGAGCTTATCTTCACCCACTTCCTTTGCAGTCGAGTAGGTAGGCATCTTGCTATTACTTCTAGTATAAAACTCGAGTTGAGGTCACTCATGAAATTCATCGAAATCAAGGTATTCTTATAAGTCATAAGATTATCTAAAAACTCAGTAAGTGCCTTGGAGTCATCTTGAAGTTGACTGCCGTTACCTTTGACAGCTTCGTATACGTTCCTTACAATCATCAAAGGTCTTCCAAACCTTTGACGTAATATGCTCATAGCCTCATCGTAGCCCTCTTTTGGCTTCATAAACTTACAACACTGTATAGCTCTTGAAGCATCTCCAGTGCAATACCTCATCAAATACATTAACTTCAATTCATCAGTTAATAAAAACTACTCAACATGATCTCAAACTCCTTTACAAATTGTAAATAATCAGCCGGGTTTTCATCGAAACACCGTGGTTCAAATTTAGGGAGTTTGATGTTCCTATCATCCCTGAACGGCGAAACAGTAACATCGACCATGTCATGCTTAACATCAGACACATCGTTACAATTAACAGACAAGTCACCATGACTTACTCTCCTGTTTGCATCCAAGACGCTCTGTCCCTTCTTTGACCCAGGCATTGTTGAACTTGACCCAATTCCAAAATAGTTCCAGATATTGCTTGTTCAAAGAGGACTTGACCGGCACCAGGAAAGAAGAACGGTGACTATCCAAACTTTCACCAACTGTCTGAATCCGCCAGAATCTGTTTCTACCGTCAGAAACTGTCAGCCACGTCTCGTAAACCGTTAATGCCCAGCTCTTGCTACGCTCGGGCTCACGCTGTTCCTTGAAGTTTCTCAGAAACGCTTAGTAATAACGGACGAAACAACCAAAACACCAATTGTTGACTCGAGGATTCTTTATTGTTACACCAACATATAAATCACGTATGACTAAGGTCTGTGAACAAATATTACAATAATAAATCACAATATTACTTCTGACGGTTTTCTCCTGACTTCTTTCTGAACAGCGACCGATGAGACGATGACTGTCGTATTGATGTCTCCGCGAAAATTGGGGAAGTTGGTTTTGAGCAAACAACCATGAATTGATCGTTCAATCTTCAACTACATTGACAGCACTTTTATCAATAAATATCTGTTGGTGCTGATATCTGTGGAATATAATGGATTAAATTATGGAGTTACTCGAAATTCATCCTGGTATTCTCACTGAAATATGACGACGCCCACCGGATTTCAATGATTGCGAAACTTCACTAGATGGATGTCATATATCTCCTGGTAGTGACGAAATTCATCCGAAATAATCATACATTTACATTTCTCTAAGCAACCCTAAGTAATTGGTTTGATGAGTTTAAGGCTGCAGATATTCGTTCTAGGCAGACCACACCTGGAAATCGTATTCAGCCTAAATTCAGGGCTCGGAAGTTGAGTCGTGTAGTCGAGTGATATTAATAAGTTTCCTTTATCTTATGAGTAATACGAGTTATCAATCACTCCTTTAGGAGATTCCTGGGTGTAAACTGAATGAAAAAATTATGGTCAACCATTTACAGGAATATTCGTTCTGGAGTGCTACGAAGTGTGTCCCACAGAATTGATGTCAAAATCAATAAAATGCTGCGTGAACAAGTTATTATGCATTTTTCAACATTGCTTTCAGGATTTGTGAGTTTCACTTCGGCAGATTTTCCCGTACATCATCGAAAGTCGGTAAACTGCGTAACGGTGGAAGCGTATGACCTCAGTTTGCATTTAGAGGTTGAAGTAACCAGACTCCATATACCTACAATTGTTTATCGTTAAGATTGTGGAATATATGGTGCACTATCATGGTACAGAAAATCCCGGTAAAAGTAACGTCACAAAGTCCAATATGGTCTAAGAAAGGATTTTCCATTTTAATAGAATGCCACAAGGAGTTGGCCTGTCATGGTGTTAATATCCCAATTTAGGACTCAGTAACCTATTGCTACATTGGACTGCGTCTTTCCTAATGAGATAGTGTGGTGAAGATTCTATGAAGATTCCAGATTCTATATATCTACTACTACATTACGATATAATTTAGCTATTCGCACACTTATCGTTTCTTTTACACAGGTAAACATAGTTCGAACATTTGACCTCCAACCGCGTTAGTTGAGATTCGGGAAACATGACGAAATCTAGCGATGATAAGAAAGCGTCAAATCAATTAGTGAGTTTGATTAATGTTTCAATTTGGTTACTCATGATTCTTGACGTTTTCTAAGCTTTCACTTAAAAATGCGTTTTAGTCCAGATAGCTATTTGCTGTGTAGAATTGTAGACAAAGTCTGCATATTTTCTGGGATTTGTATTAATTGAGTATAGTTAGACCACACAGTCGAAAGTATTAGGACGTTTACACGTATTTAGAGCATAATTTCAGGGTAAAGCGGGGTTGTATGGAGACCAAAATCTCCAAAGCTGACAATAATGCTGAGGTAAATTTCGCGAATTCCTAACGTTGACTTTCTGGTGAGTAAATTCGTCAGATGTTCTGAAACGTCTTCGTTTCCTGCGCAGACTAGAAATCAGTGCTGTTTTTTTATAACTGATACTAATTCACCAACCTTTGCTCTTTCTCGGCATAGGCAGAAGTGGCTCCCAACCTACTTAGTTTGTTTATCGGCATGATTTCAGCTGACTGGCACTCACAGCAATCCACTTAGTTCAGCGCCTATCGGCACTTTTTCTCCACCTTATTTCAGCCCTAATGAAGTACTGACTAATTTTATTTCATCATTGCCCTTGACTTTTTCTGGTGCGATTCCTAAGTGATTCTTTTTGAAGAAACCGACATATTCAACGCACAACAGAAACGCGCTACGGTTAAACATCAATTGCAACATCTTTTGCTTACGAAATCCACTGAGTGGGATGAAAGAAATCACTATTTCCACTTGGAGTACTTAATCGCCATACTACGGTTCCATCTTATTGCAAATCCGTTAAGTAAGGTCAACTGACCATCCTGCAACTAAGCAAAACCTAAAATTTGTTGAAAAATACATGTGATTATTACATTTAAGGCACTTACATTTCGAAAGGTATGCTTGCAAAAATAACTTTCATCCAAAGACTTCCTCCGCATAACACTGTGATTTAACAAAATAAAATCTTATATGTAATGGAGTTATACCATAGGACCCAATTCTTATACTTATATCTAAAAATAATGTTATAATTACATGTTGGTTAGACCATGGCTATTAAAAGTGACTGCATTTTGTAAAATTGCATGACTTAAAAATGAATGACGTGCATAACGCTGAGCTGCCTGCTTGGCTATAGCATAACCACAGTGAACAAATCCCTAATCTTACGTGTGTAAGTTTCAAACGGAAATGCACTAAATCTTCCCAATGGCATATTCAGCTCGACATAACCTACTTTGTGTCGCAGAAAAATATTGTAAACAATATGTTTGATTCTGCAGCTATTTTCATTGCCATAAGAAATTACATATCTTTTCGAGCAGCATCCAATAACAGGAGTTATTCGGAACTCTGCAGTAAGTATGCTTCTGAGTCGGCAGCAGTGTTTCTAAGTAGAATGGGGCCCAAATATAATAGCAGCATTCTACACTTCTTTGCCTTCCAGTGGCTAACCTTAGCTAATGACCTAGCTAATGAACAAGAAGGAATATGGTTCTTACTTAGTTATAGACTGTCATTTATATCTGCCATCAATTTACTGCCCATTTTCTCTTCTCTCTGAGCTGCGAGACCCTGTCAAAGGAACACTTGGCACCTTGAAATGTCCAATATTGTTGCGAAGAACTGCTTGACATGTTGAAAAGTACTGTAATCAACCCAACTATCTAGGTAACGTTGCAAAACTTCCTTCAGGCTAATATAATAGTAAACAACTTGTACAAGAAATTTAGGTGCATACATACTGCTATCTTTTAGCAAACCTCTGATGCTTTTTGCGACACGCCGACTGAGTTTATGGATAGTCTAACATTTCCTCCGCACCAACTGCTGCAACATTCGATAATAGTAACAGTTCAATAATTGACTTTGTGGCCAGTTCTTTGCATGTCATCTTTTCAGGAACAACTACAAGTTCTATTGAAAGTATTTATTGCATAATAATGCTTATTATAGTCTCTGAGTTAGTGAGACAGTGGTAGACTTCCTAGTACTAGTTATACCTACTGTTCCCTGTATAGTTGAACTTGAAACCAAAGGAACCTATTCTCTACCTGCGCATTTGCGTTTCCAAAATTTACTGTCACTAAAAACGGACTCACGTAACCGTTTGTGACGTCGGTAATGCGTCAAGTAGCCGCATGCAAAAGATTCACGCAGTTATTCAGGTATGCTTCTAATCCAAATTGCTGCATAATATCGAATACCCGTATTTAACACATTATCTCAGTTGTTTCCCTGATAATAGAAATGGGCAAATAGTCTGCGTCAAAAACCCCAACCACCTGCATGCCTAATAAATCCTGTAATAATGGTCTTTAAACGTAAGGACCACCACTTATATACTTCTAGCCAGACTTCCTTTTGTTTCAATATTTTTTTTATTTATTTTTTTGATTTACAGCTTGATTCCACACTGTATTTTTGGTACAAGTATGGAATTTTCAGCATGGATATCGGTAGCCCAAATTTTGCAGGCCGACCATAGATATCAGGTGTGCGCCGGCGTGGGCTCGAACCCCGGACCATGTGGATGGTCGGCGAGAGTTCTAACCACTGTGCCACCGACGCACAAAGCAACCTCCGGAATATATAGATGGATGACAGGTAAACAGGGGTCATATGGTGAACTGTAATCACAGCTCTGAACATTTTGCTTATGACAAGTATGAGTTTTCGTCTCTGAGTTTACATCAGTGTATCCCTTTTGTTTCTTTTTCATTTTTTTGGTTTTGGTGGACGAATTCATCATTAGGAAACTAGAATCGAAATTCATAACATTTCATTCATGACAAGTTTATGTTTTCATCTGTACCGTATTTTTTCTAGGACAGTTTTTGTTTTCATGTGACTTCGTCATATGTGAACTGTAATCATATTTGTAAGAAAAGGATAAGCAATATGAGACCATAGTAATTATAATTCACTCATGACCACTCTTTTCCCAGTGGTGGTGGCTAGTCATCCCTCCCTGCTCCCTTGTTGCCTTATTTTTTGGTAGTAGTCATATATGCATGCTCTCACTTCCAGTGTGTATCTTATATGATGAAAGTACTCGTAACTCCTCGATAACTTCATTCAGCATTTTTCCGCATTTATTGAGAAGGCGTAATACAGACTTTGGTTTCATCTCAGTGTTTGTCGTCTTAGTGTATTTCGTAAACCGCAGTCAATATTTTTTTCTTAACTTGTAACTTAGTGTTCAGCTTTGCAAGTCTAGCTTTATGGTGTCAACCTTGAATTCAGTCATCATGGTAACTAAAATCCTATGAATTACGTTGTAGTAGCTTTCCAATGCTACTAACGAATACCTACATTTAATATTTGTTCTAAGTCATTCACACAACTGCTTGCGATTACTGTTATTTTACTCTAACAGCAGCATCGATTTTTCAATTTAGTGCAAGTGTTTTCTTCTATGCCAAAACCGTGAGATGAAGCAGTTCAACTATGAACCTAGTATACCGGCCCATAAATGTGGGATATGCTTATTCATTTTCTAATTTTATACTTAACCAAAAAGATACCGATCACGCACTGGTCCGGGCTCGTGTGTGCTTACGGCTGAACGGACGTAGGAAACAGCTGGCGGTAAAACCATCACGTCCCCAGCTCGATCAGGAAACTAAATCCGTATTTGAGGAAGAACTAGCTAAACGCATATCTGAGTTCGACGGCTGTGCTCACCCTGAAGAAGCTTGGGAGAATATTCAGTCAGCCATAGATACAGCTGTGAAAGCTGTGAATAAGGTAAACCCAAAGGTGAGTAAAAACCACTGGATCTCTACCGCCTCATCCGAACTGATAGATGCTAGAAGACTTATTCCGGCGAGCTCCGAATTCAATGAAACGCGAAAGCTACAAGGACCGTGAACAGTGGTGGGTGACAAAGGCGAAAGAGATGGAAAAAGCATCGGCGATAGGCAACACTAGGCAACTCTTTAGACTCATCAGGGAAACGGGTGGGAGAAGGTAAATCATAAGTGAGACTATTTCTGAGAAAAATGGTTCCTTAATTAGCTCTCAGGATAGACGACTGGAACGCTGGAAGGAGCACTATGAGGAGTAGTTTAATTGGCCCACAGCCACACTGAACCTCCCCGTCATCCGGCGCACACCCGAATGGGATATAGACACAGGTCCTCCGTCCCTAAATGAGGTTTCTAAAGCTGTCACCAATCTGAAACAAGGCAAAGCAGCATGACCTGATGGAATGACTCCAGAGATATTTAAGTACGGTGGAGACAGTTTACTGTCTGCATTAAACTGAAGTTCTAAGCAGCGTCTGCGAATCAGAGGAAGTCCCATCGAGTTGGTGTAAGTCACTGATTATCCCCATATACAAGAAAGGAGACAAGTCTTCCTGTGATAATCACAGAGGGATTAGCTTGACTAATATAGTATCTAAAGTCCTAGGCTCAATAATAATGCGTAGACTAAGTGGTGCTCGGGAGGCACAAACACGAGAGAGCCAGGCAGGCTTTAGACCAGGAAGAGGGTGTATTGATCATATCTTCACCCTCCGACAGATTCTAGAACATAGTCATTCCTACCAGCGTCCAACAGTCATTATATTTCTTGACCTAAAGGCAGCATTCGACTCTGTCGATCGAGAAGTTCTCTGGAGATGCTTGGCTGTAAAGGGAATTCCGAGAAAATACATTGCACTGATTAAGGCACTCTACTCGTACTCATACAGCCAGGTGAGGGCTTACGGCGAGTTGTCATCTGAATTGGTGACGACTAGTGGTGTCCGTCAAGGATTCCCATTATCCCCTTTTCTATTCAACTTCATCATAGATGTACTAATGGACTTAACCCTAACTCACTTCAGCGACTCAGGGATCGACTTGCTACCGCAGGGAATAATCTCGTTGACTTAGAATATGCAGACGATATAGTCCTTCTAGGCGAAGATGCTGACAAAATGCAGAGTCTTCTGAACACCTTGAACTGCAATCTACGAATGTTTGACACGAGATTCGCTCCCGCCAAATGCAAGATGATGTTACAGGACTGG